ATCACAGTGCTTATGGGCTTGCAACAGGCGAACAGCCAAGCAAGTCATCTACTAATAGTGGCGTCGACCAGTATGACACCGACATCCGTCCTTCGTCTAGTGCTAGCTTTCACGTTTCAGAGGCTGTGCTTGCGGAGGGTTGTGAGCTCTATTTCCCGAACGGCACGCTCGATGGGCTGGAGGGAGGGGGGTTGCGCCGGCTATGTTGAGAAGGGCAGTTCCACATTGCTGAACTCATCGATTGGACATGGAAATATGAATCCTCCGCGGCACAGGTGTCTTTGCGCCAAAGTTCTGGTGGAGGGGGACACTCTCTTGTTCTGACTTCAATCCTATCCCTCCCTCCTGGAATTTAGCGCAGTGGCATCGCAATCCGGAGGGGATGCACTTACTCCCATGCCCTACCCCAATACGAATTGTGTATTACAGAGGCGAGTCAAATATTCCAGTACTGTCCAGTACATCACATGCGCCTGTGTGTGATAATTGGACAGCGGTAAGTTACGGAGTACACACAGCGCTGCGCTGCGTGGAAGGTTCGTCCAGCGTCTACCTCACCCCCACTCAAAATGCTCAAAACGTCCTAACCGAGAGGCGCAGTCAAGACGACAGAGGCTGTGTGTGTGTGTGCTCGTGATTGCATTTGCTGGCGTGACAAGGCCCGCCTCTACACATATCATCCAAGTTGTGGTTCATGCAAATCAGACTTTAAATAACGCTAGCATTCTGTTTGCTAGCTTGAAAGGTTGCAAAACTGAGGGGCCACTGAGGCCCGGCCTGTAGTCCAGGCGACCACTCACTCGACCCGTAAGCCGAAACCCCCCGACCCCCGACTTTGACGCCCTGTAACAGTTTAAAAACGCACCCGATCCATTGGGGTAGTGAAAGAGGCCTTTCATAGACTTCGCACGGCTAGAGATGACTAATGTGGCAAAGTGCTCATATCTGAGTGTGCCAGATGGACTTTAACATTACAGCTGTCGAGATGATTAGATGTCATGAGGGCTGTAATCTTAGGGAGGCGCTGCCTGAGGCTGTGGAGGGGCCAAGTTAGTTTGTCTGCCGATTAGCGGCCCCCAAAACATCGTTTTGGGGATATCGAGGAATTACTGGATGACTCCAGTTAATAACCCTCACGCGCCAGTGGCAGATCTGGGGGTCGTCGCGAGGTGAATGTCTGCGAAGTTTGCAGGGAAAACGCCAGAGTGCAATGAGAGTAGCATGTCCCGTAACCTGACAAGGACGTCCTCGTGATATGTATCCGATTTCTTCGATTGTGGCGGCCGTCTGAATCCAAAACGAAACACCTTCATCGCTTCTGACTGCCCAGGACGCGTTTCGGTGACACGTTTTGCCTTATCTTCGCGGACACTTAATAAAGCCACGCAGGAAAACATCCAGGCTGAACCCGCGATCAGAAGTCATCACTAAGAGAGCTGGATATGTCCCCCGAAATCAGTTGTGAAAGCAACATTCCTGTAACCACTCAAGAGGTGCCTGGATGATTGTGTCCCTGTTTATCCTTCGACACGCGAAACATGAACAAAATGCCAGCTCAAGTGCAGACGACGATTTTCCTAAAAACAAGACCACTTAAGCTCCGTTAATATCATCTTAACAGTGAAATTTGTTCAAGATGCGATCACAGCTGTCTATGCCACACCGACATGAAAATCATAGGGTTTCGTAGGCTCCCACTACTGCCCTCAACAAATAAACTGCAATAAACTGAAAGTTATGGGAGGTAAGCCCCCTGGAACAGGCGTGCCTTACTTATATCAGTATTATGAGCCTCATTTGACGCGTTCTAATGATCCGATATATCCAACGTATAGAAGCACGCCTGAGACCCGAAGTTGACCTCCACTGATACCTGGGCTTGCATGATAATTAATAACGACTACGTGCCTACTGAAATGAGAGCAGCACACCGAGTAAATAATGTTGGGGACGTTTCTTCGAAAGCGCCATCCAGTGCCGAGACAACTCTTCGGCAAAAACAAGACGACTTTAACGCGCTGACAGTTTAGAAACGCGCCCGGTCTACTGGGGCGGTAAAGGAGGCCTTTCATTGACCTCGCCCTTCAACAAAGTCAGCAGGGCTAGAGATAACTAATGTGGCAAATTGCTCATATCTGAGTGTGCCAGATGGACTTCAATATTACAGCTGTCCAGAGGATTAGATGTCATGAGGACAGTAATCTTAGCGAGGCGTTGCCTGACGCTGTGGAGGGGCCAAGTTAGTTTGTCTGTCGGTTAGTGACCCCCAAAACATCGTTTTAAGGACATCGAGGAATTAATGGATGACTCCAGTTAATAACCCTCACGCGCCAGTCGCAGATCTGGGGCTCGTCGCGAGGTGAATGTCTGCGAAGGTTGCAAAGAAAACTCCCAAGTGCAGTGATAGGAGCATGTCCCGTAACCTGAAAAGGACGTCTTTTTGGTAAGTATTCGATTTCTTCGATTGAGGCAGCCGTCTGGATCCAAAACGAAACACTTTCATCGCTTCTGACTGCCCAGGACGTGTTTCGGTGACACCTTTCGCCTTATCTACGCCAACACTCAATAAAGCTACGCAAGAAAATATTCAGGCAGAACCCTCGATCGGAATTTATCACTCAGCGAGCTGAATGGGTCCCCCGCAATCAGCTGTGAAGGCGACCTCCCGGCAACTATTCAAGAGACGCTTGGATGATTATGTGTCTTTTCTTATTCTTCTTCGTGAAATGAATACCACACCAACCCCAGACACAGATTTTATTCCAGAACAATGTTACTTACATTATGTGGATAACATTATCGCGGTGGAAAGTTTTCCAGAATGCGCTTAGAACACCGGCATGAAAACAGTATGGTTCCAAAGGCTTTGCCTATTAGAGTCAAAAATAAGCTATAATGAGCCGAAAGTTGGAGAAGGCAGAAACCCTAATGCAGTCGTGCCTTACTTATATCAGTACTATGAGCCTCACTTGACGCGTTCAAACGACCGATGTGTACCAGCACGTCTGAGAGACAAAGTTAAACCCTATTGGCGCGAGATCATCCAAGATAATTAGTAATAAATACATGTCTACTACAATAGAAGCAGTGTACTGAGTAAGTAATCTCAGGGAAGCGTTCCTTTGGAATGACATTGGGTGTCGAGGCGACAGTTCTCCGGACCTATACAATATGACCTTAGTCACGACAGATGTCCATCAAGGACAGGTCTGCTTGAGACAGAAAATAGGTTAGCGATCGGATGAAGGACCTCAAACGCACATGACCAGCCAAAGATGCCTGTCTGACGAGAGAGGTGGTAACACGGGTTTTACGGGCGGGGCCTATATATGCATAGGGGATTGGCAAAATAATCATAGATATTTGGTAAATTCGTTTTACGTGCGGAAAGGTTTTGATGCATTGACATATAGCAACCGAAATTACGCAGAACAATTGGACAAACATTAAGTGTCTACAACGATCGCTCCTCAACTCTCTGAGCCGAGTTCATTGTAGTTAATGCACTAGACCGTCTACAACAGACGATCCGACCTTGTACGATGAAACACCATACCGAAATAATTGTGTCGGACTAAAACTCACTTAAATAAGTATAGTAGGTATTCCTCGTATGCCACAGCTGCTTGGAGGCCTTCACCCGATCCTTCTGGGAGCTAATCCACTTGCATGCGAACAACAAGTGCGTAATCAGGATGTTAGACATGTAGGGAACATCTCGACGACTTTTCTGATTGCTCCAAAGCTAAAGTGGCAAGCTAACTGAAAAAAAGGAATCTCAGCAGTTAGACGACTGCAAAACTGTGTGCAGCATAGGGCGGCTGGCGACCGGCCTACGGAGTGCAGGACCCTCTGTTTAAAATCTCAGTCTCGAAGGCAGAGCATGTGACAACAGGGTATAACAGTGAATAATCCTCACGCGCCAGTGGCAGATCTGAGGTTCATCGCAAAGCGAATGTCTGAGAAGGTTGCAGAGGAAACACCCAAGTGCAATCACAGTAGCATGTCCCGTAACCTGACAAGGACGTCCTCGTGGTAAGTATCCGATTTCTTTGATTGAGGCGGCCGTCTGAATACAAAAACGAAACACTTCCATCGCTTCTGACTGCCCAGGACGTGTTTTGGTGGCATCTTTCGCCTTATTTTCGTGACCGCTCAGTGCGGCTACGCAGGAAAATATACGGACTGCATCTTGGATCTGAATTATTCACGCCACGTGTCCAATGAGCCCCACGAAATCAGTTGTGAATGTGACTTGCCTGCAACTATGCAAGAGACGCTTGGATGATTGTGTGTCCCTTTTTGTCCTTTGACACGCGAGGTGAGAACAAAATGCCAGGTCAACTGCAGACAATGATTTTCCTAAAAACAATACTACTTACGTTAAGTGAAGATCATCTTAGCAGTAAAATTTGTTCAAGATGCGCTCACAGCTGTCTATGCCACATCGACATGAAAACATCAGAGTTCCAACGGCTTCCCCTACAGTCCTCAAAAAATAAACTGCAATAAACTGAAAGTTATGGGAGGTAAGCCCCCTGGAACAGGCGTGCCTTACTTATATCAGTATTATGAGCCTCATTTGACGCGTTATAATGATCCGATATATCCAAAGTATATGAGCACGCCTGAGAGACGAAGTTAACCTCTATTGATACGAGAACTTGCAAGATAATTATTAAAGATTACATGCCTACTGAAATGAGAGCAGCACACTGTGCAAAATAATATTGGGGGACGTGACCTTGGTCCCGACAACTGTCCAGTACAAGCAGGCCGGCGTGAGACAAAAAATAACTCGAAAAAAAAATGACGAAAGTGATCAGGGGCGTTGATTCATATGCGCCTGTATAGCAAGTGCGGGATACATAGACGCGCTACAGAAGAGACAGTATAAGACTTCCAAATCCCCGTCCCACCTCCAACGAACGACAGTGCACTAACGAGGCAGCAAAATGACGAAATTATATACAAGTTTTCTTTAGTAAAAAAAGAGTACTTTAATGAGCAAGGCAAGGAGGGGGAGGAGTCGTAGGTGATTGGGAGGCAATGAGGGAATCGAAGAGCTCGGCGTGGATCGCTGGGAGGATTTCATTTTCAAGGAAGCGTCTCAGGGGTAGCATCTCTTGCAGCCTGTATTCATTTCTTTCAAGTGACAACTGCGGTCCACAAACCATCAGCAGGGTCTCCGGCCTAGAGTGACGGCGAAATAAAAATAGGTGCAAAGAAGTCGCCGGGGCCGAAAAAGACAATATCCCTGACTGCGTCAGGCAGAACGCAGACGGGTGACTCCACGACAGAACATCAGGCTTTTAAAATCTGCCGTTCCGACTTTAAATTACAGTTCTCTCGGCCACTCGCTTTTCTTATTTCTCTATGATTAGTACTTGCAAATAACGGTTGCTTTGTTGATGTGCGCGTACAAACAGGAGTTCACAACCTGATGTCCAACCCAACACGGACTGCCGAAAAAAACCACTAGGAAATATACGTTCGTCTTCATGTGCGCAGCTTAAAATTCTAGGCCTAAAGGGTATAATACTTCTGAAAGAGTCGAGAATGGCAGATATGGTCAGGTCAGACAGTCTGTGTGGCGCTTGCTGACGTTCACGACCAGAGGACGCTATGCGACGCCTTAAAAGGGCTCGTATTTCAATGAACGAAGCTTGATTCTGTGTCACGAGTTTGGCGGTAAAGTTATCTCATGTAGGCGATCAAAACGTCGTCATAAAACTGCTCCAGATCGACTTCCAAATGTAAGTAATGAGATTTCGGCGGTAACCGTTCGTGTCGGGATTAGGTACTGCCACACAGGTACACAGCTCTTACACATTTTAGGTAGTGGACTTCATGATCACAATCACAATCCCCTGAAGGTTCCGTTTCTATCACACCCTACATAAGCAACTTCAAGTCAAACCACCTTTATTGTAAAGAAGGCGGCAAATAAATTACATTAGGAAAACTGCAGTTAGCAGTAGGGCAAGCGAGTCAAAATGCATTCCCTACCCCAATGGTGGTTTGTGGTGTAGTTCGGCGTGAATGACATAGCCATGGCAGGCGAGAGAGAAAGAGACCATCTCCTACACAGGACCCGTAGTCGTTCTGTCAAGTAGCCCATAGGTGACATTGAAGCATCGAAACGGCGTCTCCGAGGCAGGCAGTTGATACCATCCGAGCCAGCTGAAAATTCGGAGAGAACAAAGAAGAAGACTTACCCCGGGTCAAATCGAGGAGCTGATGGAAGGGTTCGTAGAGGGGTGACGAGGCTGGGGGCACGCTGACCAAAGAGGACCCTTCAAGAAAGGATAAAGGACCGCCTGAATGAAATAGTGTCATGCGAGTTGTTCTGATAGGCCGCAATAAAAGTGGTCCTGAATTCCGCAGGCTTAAGAAAGAAACACAAAAAGTCTGACATTGTGACAGATTTAAATCCTACCATGACGACAAGTATTCCTTGTGACGGTCCTATAAATTACAGAGCAGCTTCCTTTGTCTTAGTCTCCAAAAGGCAAAATGGGAACCGCAAACGTGAGGGTGATTGGGGAATTTTTAAAGTCGGCCATGCAGGAAAAATTAACAATTAATTGTAACAGTGTCGGACTGACTGGCGAACAAGTCTTTAAACTGAAGTCCGAAGTCTTCGACGACTCGGAAGCTGTAAATTCACCCTCATAAAGGGCGGGAAATTGGACACATGCGTAGGTGATAGCAGATGGCTGCAAACACACAAAGTGACATAAAAACGCTCCATATCTGTACGCACTAAAATATGCAGTGGCGGGCAGAAATTATTTCCACATGTCCTCACCTGTACTAGTGATCTCTGATGACAGAAAGGAATGACTATGAGGAAAGGACGAGAACTGCTACCTGCATGTCAACGCCAAACCATACGTTTAAAAGTTAACCTGTCTAAGACTGCCCAATATCAGATGCGTTATAAGTAAGCAGTCATTATATCCGTCAAAAAAGAGTCCTACATGAGCCAATCCAGTTTCATTTCCAATCATCTGCAACCCTAACAGTGAACTCGTGAACTTCTGCCGAAAACTTCAACACTATTGGGATAGCGGGACGCTTCCAAGATATGTCCGTGGCAGATGGTTGCAGAAAGCTAAATGCTAACCGAGAAGTATATGTCTAAAGGCAAACGATTTCTTAGAAGAACGCAGCAGATGAACGCAATAAAAAGTTACTACTGATATACACGGCCACCTTTGAAAGCGTCCACTCGTAGTGTGGCTCAGAAATCGTGCGGAATTGCGCACATCTATTTGCTACAGAACTTCGTAAAATGCCGTGAAATTAAGAAGCGCGAAGCATAAGTTTTTCTTACCACATGCAGGTTTTTCCTTATCCCTGGCATCCAGGCAGTCAGCGAGGAGGCGCAAGTTCAGGTAGGATTCAATAATGTCCTAATACACTGGAAAAATGTACATCATAAATAAAGAAAAAAATGAATTTGACGGATGGGACGAATGAGTTTCAAAATTAACTGAACAGCGTTTGTGAGACCGGACTTATCGGACATTCCCAATAAGTTTAGTGAACTTTAAAAATTGTGCAGTTAAGCCTGATCCGTACGCCTTATCTATCTTTTCGCTCAAGTGGATGCCTAGTCAGTTCACATCCCTGGTTTAGATGAAAGAAACACGGTGCCTGGGTAATTGCGATAATAAAACCCCTGTCGACGGATTATACTAGGATTTTCGGCCTGCGATAGGTTCTACACAGATGAGCTGGTATACACAGGGCTGGTATACAGCGTCGGCTTTGAGATTTATTACGTAAAATCAAGAGTCTTTAGCCTTTAAGTAGGAGGTTTTGCCCGGCCAGTAAGCAGGCAACACATTCACAAACAGTATAGCGGACAAATGTGAGCCAGAACTACTTTTGTGACGTTTTGCATACGGTATCCGGAAACTCCAGTTGGACTCGCTCCACGATAAAGAGGGGAGGATCAACTCGTAGAATACTCTTTTTGGTGCTCACTAAATTCGATATAATCAGAAAATGTATGGAACTCTTTTGTTCGTTTCTTGATAGAGAAGATTTACATTACGGCAAATTTGTGCAATATAAGAGGCCTTCATCATTTTTTAATAAGACTATCAGCATGCGCTTGAAAAGAATGCCCTTGTCTATAAAAAGGAGGGGTAACTTGGACATCGGTAGCAACCCCTTCTCGTTTCATTGTCTGAAAATACCACAAAACGCAACTAATAGAAGGGTGCGGCCTTTCTGAATAGCTTGGCCGCATTTTGTGTTGAAGACAAAACAGTTCATCGCGAAAGTTGTGTTGTTTCGAGTAACCACGGCAGCCCTTAAGAGCTTCTGTTAATTAGAAGCAGTTTTTCGTGTGAACGGCCTCTACTTCGAAGTTTGGGTTAAAAAAATAAGTAAACAACGCGAACGGTTATCATGACCAGTTCTTCTAAAAATAAGTACGTGACATAAAACTGTCATCGGTTAGTTGTCCAAACCTTCAGCCCCGACAACATTTTGTTGCTGTTGTCAGCCACGGAAAGCGCGGTTGCGGACCGGTGCGAACAGCCTCGAACTCACGCACCATCTCACGGGTGTAATATATCTCACCCGCTATGCCGGACACCCCTTATCGAGCAAGCTATTAAATCCCTATCTCACCCGCTATGCCGGACACCCCTTATCGAGCAAGCTATTAAATCCCTAGGGTTACGATCTGGCGGAATGCTCCTAAAATGAAGGGTGGGACTTTACGGGGCTGCAGCGGCTTAAGTAGCTCTGACTGTGCTAAGACAATCGTGTTCACATAACGAAAAGCTGGACACTGCAGCGTGCTGCCATCTAAGAAACGTAGTTTTCGGTTGCTAGGGGAACGATTCGAACAAAACAAAAGAGAAGCGGAGAAAAGGCTAAAAGGGTGGGACTTTACGGGGCTGCAGCGGCTTAAGTAGCTCTGACTGTTCTAAGACAATCGTGTTCACATAAGGAAAAGCTGGACACTGCAGCGTGCTGCCATCTAAGAAACGTAGTTTTCGGCTGCTAGGGGAACGATTCGAACAAAACAAAAGAGAAGCGGAGAAAAGGCTAAAAGTAACTAATCACCATCCAGAACAGCCAGCAAACGCGATGAACTGCTCAACGACGTCGCGGAACGTCACCTGCACGTCACCTGCCCTTATTGGTTCTCATTTCGGTTTTCTGATTGGTGGAGTCAGTCAGCTGATTGGCCTTGTGCCTTGCCGATGATTGGTGGGAGCCCGTCAGCTGATTGGGCAGGCTTTCTATGCGCGGGTATTTGAATTTGTCAAGGTCACAGCACGTTATAGGAGCAATGGCGGCAGGCGACGTTGCTGTTGAGGCTTTCCAAAGACTTCACTATGGACAAAAATTTCCTTCGTTTAGGGATTTGTATGAGGCCATCTCACGGTTTAGTGAGGTAACTGGTGTTTCTGTTTGCGATGACCAAGTTTAGGAAACTGGCTACCATTTTAAGCCAGTTAATTCCCACAAATTCATCGCCGGCAGCCCTGAGGCCGAGACATTTGGGTTTTCCAGCCGCAAATACGTTTGCGTCCTGGCTTCAACTCGAAAGTACGTTTACATTAACTTTGGTAAATCAGCGACTGCGCAGGCGCGTGGGCTGTGATGCGTTTTTTAACATTGGGCATCGCAAGGCGGGCTACCTTGCCGTAACGTCGTTTAAGGCAGAGCACGGACATGAGCCCGTGCCCGTGGAACCCCAGCATTCTAAGCAGAAAAGCCCAGGCTCCCAACTCACAGACATTCGCACGCTACGTGCTGCCTCACCAACAAGTAGATACAGACTTCCTTTAACCGTGCTTTACAGCGCAAGAACAAACTCGTTTGCTTTGTTCTTTGTTTAAGAAAGTTTTCCAATGCGGGACCTTCGTGAGCTTCGATGGCTTAATGTCCGCGGTAAAAGAGTACGAGAAGGTAAGCCGTATTAAGCCTTCGGTTATTTTGTAGGCTTCCTCCACCAGCTTCAGCAGAACTAAGAGCGAAAGACTGCCGGCGACCCATCCGCGGGTTGATGCATTGAAGTACCGTTATGTCTACTTTACATGCTGTCATTCCGGAGTTTTTCGCAGTTGCAGCTCCAAGAAAAAAACAGCGTAAGCGACCATTGCTTTACATCAGGCGGTTTAGTTCTCAGAAGTT